CTGGAGATTTCCTCACTAGGGAAAAGGTCATCTGGTCTATTGGGACATTTAAGCCCTATAAATCAGCAGGTCCGGATGGCATTGCCCCCATACAGCTGCAGCAAACACTTCAGCTTAGCTCAGCGTGGCTACACGCTATAATTAGGGGAGTATTAGCTCTTAACCATATCCCTAGAAAGTGGAGGGAATCAGGAGTGGTGTTCATCCCCAAGGCAGGGAAGGTGTCTCACAATAACCCAAAGGATTTCAGGCCCATCACCGTGTCGTCATTTCAACTGAAGGTTATGGAGAGACTGGTGGAGGTCCGTATCAGAGAGTCGGTAGGTGACCGACTCTCTACCACACAACATGCTTATACGAAAGGTAGATCTACAGAAACGGCGCTACATGAAATAGTGTCGTATAGAGAGAGATCACTAAACATCAAAGAATATACGCTAGCAGCCTTCCTGGATATAGAGGGCGCCTTTAACAACATCATGCCGGGCGCGATAACGGCAGCACTGGCGGGCCTGGGCATCGACTCGCGCTTAGTTGCGCTCGTAAACCAAATGCTGAGATGCAGGGTGGTCCGGGCGGAGCAGGCGGGGGTATCGTTGACCAGGTTCGTAGAGAGGGGCACCCCGCAAGGGGGAGTCCTATCCCCTCTATTATGGGTCGCAGCGGTAAACTCACTGCTGTGTGGCATGGAGGGGGGTGGCTGTAAGGTTATTGCGTATGCGGATGATCTTGCACTAACAGTAAGTGGGAAATTTCCACAGACTCTATGTGACATTATGCAGGTAAAACTGAAGGAAGTTGAGAGTTGGACAAAAAATAACGGGTTAGGGGTAAACCCAAGCAAGACAGAACTTGTACTGTTCACAAGAAGGTACCAAATCGCCCCATTGATAACACCAAGGCTGGCACAGACCACACTAAAATTAAGCGAATGCGCTAAATACCTGGGGATAGTCCTAGATAAAAAATTAAGCTGGATTCAAAACACCGAAGAGCGGGTGCGGAAGGCCACGGTTGCCCTATACAGCTGCAGGAGAGCAATCGGCCAAAAATGGGGTTTAACCCCGAAGATAGTGCACTGGATATACACCGTCGTGGTGAGGCCCATACTTCTGTACGGGGTAGTGGTATGGTGGCCAGTGCTGGAGAAGA